GATGCTTACAACGGTAGAGCACTGCCTTGTGTGCTTTCAGTTTACCCTTGACTTAAACAGATTGCAGTACTGCCTTCTGCCTGCGGCTGCTCTGACAGCAGTCTTGTTGCTCCAGAAAGTTGAAATGAAAACTCAAGATCTACTTTAACTTCATACTGAGCCCTCCACAATTTTAGCCAAATGTATTTTTAGGGTGTTAACTTAAAAGAAGCCCACGAACACAGTTACTTCTTCAAAACAAACGAACAAACAAAAAGAATTGAAACAAAGAGGTGGTCTGTTTGTAAGGGCTTCAAGCATGCTTCATTCTAACTAGCGCAATGATCACATACACACAGTATCTACATAAAATAGTGGCACAAGCATTCTTCTCTGTGCTTTCTCATTCTTCCTTCCTTTCAGGTGTCATTTGGTCTTAAAACTAAATGATCTTATCCTCTCAGAATATCCAGATATCTTCTTTGAATGTATTTCTCTCCCTCTCTTCTCCTAATCACCTGAGCAACATATTTCCTTTTTTCACTTAACTCATAGCCCTGTGCTATGAAATCACATCCTTTTCTTGCTCTCCTTCTCAAATTTTCTTTTTACAGTCAATTGCTTTCACAAGCTGTGTCTTTGTTCCCTTGCTTTGGAATTTTCCACTCTCCAAATGGCTTACCCGGTGCAGAGAAAATAGTGAAAAACTCTCTCTTTTGACAGTCTGAATATGACTTAACGACCTTCCGTTGTTCTTGGTCTGAAAGACAAGTGACATAGCCCCAGCTTCACATATGTGAGGTATTTGGTTGTATAGCGATTGCATAAGATCAATCAGGAATTTTGTGATGTGTTTAGACAGGTTCTCCAAGTGCCACACAAATATTTTGAAAATAATCTATCCTTGTGTCAGAAGTGATATGTCTAAGACCACACTGTAGGAAGTGACAGGACTCTATTGTTCAGCATAGCTGAATCTGGGCTTGTTCCGTTTTGTGCTGACAAACCAGCAGGCTCAGTCGGGACCATGGGGGTGCAGCACTGGAGGTGTACCTTTAACTTCCTTCTGCAACTGCAAGCTCTAATCTGGCTTTCTTATAACACACCATGCAACATATCCAGATCTTGGGGAAGATTTTCCATTTAGTTTCTCACCACCATACACAGAACAACAGAGGACATTAGAATGAGCACTAGCGTACTGCATAATCTGTCGCAGAGTATCTTGCCTCATTCCACTGCCGTCTGTCTATAACATCCGGGCTACCAACACTGCAAGTTCAGGTGTGTCGTTCAGAGAAAAGAGAGCTTAGTGTGCTCCAAAGTAAACCTAGGTTACACTACCCTACAGTAGACATGGAAGTAGCAGAAGGCCACCCAAAAAAAAAAAAAAAAAAAAAAAAAGGCACTCCAGCGGGCCTTTGCCCAGAAGAGCCTTCAACAGTGACAAGAACAGAGGAAGACAGACTACAGCATAGGAACACAGCTTGTTTCACACCCTGAAACGAAAAGAAGAAAGTAAAACCAGAACAACGCACCATTCACAGAATAATCTAATCATTCAATAGACTTGGGGATTCTTGCACTTTCCTACCTATCCACTTCATTGATGTAATCTTGTTTGCTTGTGCCATTTATTCATCTACCTTGGAAGCTCTGATGGGATTTGTATAGCTCCACTTGTACTAAATCAATGTTGGTTCCAGGTTTTGTCTTGTACACTTCTGAACAGAATCCATCCAAGCAAGGCAACCAAAACAAGTGAGAACTTGTTAAAGATATTTGAGGCAAATTACTTCTGTTGCAATGTTGAAGTGATGGTCATAACATTCCAGGCGTAACAACACCTCTTGTAAAACAGGGTGCTCACCAATTGGCTTGTATCCTCAGCAGGCCAATCCCCAGGGAACACTGCTGATATGCACCAGTGGGGGGCCTTATTTCTCCTCTCAGAGGACACTAGTTTTCTTTTTTCTTTTTTTTCCCCCCTTGTAAATATAAGAAGTTTAAAATCCGGAGGAGCAATGGGTGAAAACAAACCATTATAAATAATGATGACCACTGTTTCACTGTAAGCTATTAGCTACTTCTAGGATTTCTTCTGCTTCTTTTCCTATTTTCCTTCCCTTTTCTCTTCCAGTCTTTCTTAGTCAGTTGCTTCTTCAAAGCCCAGTCCTAAGTACCCTACCAGATGCCAAGATTCACAAAGTTCACAGAGTACCTATCTTTGCACACAAGGCATTATAAATAACATTTCTACATTTAAACCAACTGGATCCTAAGTTAACCTGGTTTATAACCATCTGGAATCCTTCATAAAAAATGACTTGTAAGCACTGTAAACAGTTTTGTCTTCCCAGAGGACATCAAGAGTTTCCAACTTCATTGCCATCTTCGTTTTGTGATCTGAGTTCAAGAGCAAGGTATAGATTTAAAGATGATGATAATGCAAATAGTATTAATAAAAGAAACCTCAGAGTGATATGTTTTTCCCTAAAAAGGCAGGCTCTATTAGTGTCTCAAAGGCAGCAAGGTGCCAATACAATTAATCAGTCTGTTTTTAGTTCTCCCTAGACAGCAATATTAACAGTTTGTTTCAGTCTGTTTATATGGGTCTGACAGGTCTCCAAGATGCTGTGTTCACTTGCTGGTGATTAATAGTCATTCACATACTAGGTGAAGACCAAGCAGAAAAATAATGTTTTCTGAGCCAGATAGATAACTGGATTTTCTCCTCCCTTCTTTCATTTCTAACTCGGAAATGGTACTATTTTTAGGAATGCTGTCTCTTCATTTTGTTTCTAAACTCCTTTTTTAAAAACCAGCCCATGTGATGAACCAAAGGTAAATTAAAATGACATATTTACTTGTCAGTTGTGCTCTGTAAAGCCATTACATTGATAGTGAGGGTCTGCAAGCTGTGATACTACACGTACCAAATAAAGACATAGGGAGCAGTTCTTGCTTCCGGGAAAAGGACTTTTCTACCTTTCCATTTCTGCAAACTTCAGGAAAAAATTTCAGGAGATCTGAAGAATCAGCCAAGCACCAAAACTCACTGCAATGGAGAATTCACAATCTGAGAAGAAGCTGAACTCTAAGGTGCATTTTGTGCTTTTGAAACATTCCTTCAGTGACTTTTACAGCGCTTTTAACAAATCCCACCAAATCAGAGATGCTTTCTTTGTACAAAATCAGTGCCTTAATATTTTCGCCCTATCTCTCCATCACAGAGTTTTAATTTGAGACAGTGTGAAGGAGCCCATAAATAAAAAAAAAAAAGAGCATGTGCTTCATCCTCCCCTCCTACTTTCCTGGGTGTTTCATTCTGATAAAGAGAACAAACCTCCAGTAATGTCCAGCCAAAACAACCACTCAGGTACAGCCACAAAACAGGAGGTGACATATTTGCCCATGCTGCTGCTACTTCTCTTTATTTTTTTTTCCCTAATCAGAGTTGGATGCTTATCACAATACTTTTGTGACTTTTTTTTTCCCCTGTTTCTCCCCATGCCTGTCACCCCAAGAAAAGATCATGCACAGATTTCTGTGATAATTTTTGTCTGTTCTGTCTTCTCTCCATTTCTCCAGCACCTGCCACCTCTAGTTTTTGGAGGCAAGTTCCATCCCCTCAGTTTTGATTCAATTTCTTTATTAACTCTTCATTTCCTGAGATCTCTCTTTCTTATCATCTCCTTCCCTCAACTCTGGCTCTTCAAATCTCCTCCTGGCTTTCCATCATCCCTGTGTCTCCAGGTCATACACTTCTCTGTTTAGATCTTCTTTGATCTCTCTTCTTTTGCTCTCTTACTTAAGTACCTTCAGCCTCTTCTGACTCCTCCTGTCCATTTTAATTAGGGCATTTTTTTCTTCACCATTAATCAGAGGACACAATTTCTTTTCTGCCACTTTTTCTTAACAGCAGTCTTCACAAACTTTCTTCTCTTTCAGTTTGATTGCAGTTGAAGAGGATAGCACAGGAAAATAATTGTAGCTGAAGAGTAAGAGAGCTCTGCATGATAATACTATAGTCTGAAATAATAGGAAAAAAAAAAAGCATCCTAACTCTTAAAATGCTGCGAGCTGCCCTGTAAAATAATGGGGACTGTGCAGAATACAAACACATACTGACAGTCCAGCAGGTCTGATGCAAGAACTTAGTAGTAGAGCTCCCTCCAGAAACCTGCTGTTATATTGTTCTTGATGTGGTTACTCAAAGAAACAGCACAGTTGTCCACTGAATGGCAGACATCACCTCACACTTACCTGGGAGTCTCCTCTTCCTCTCAGAGAATTCAGATCCCCACCATCCCTAAAAATTATGCTCAAAACACAGTCACTGATGGCACCTGCTTTCTTGTCCTTCAGAAGTTGATGATTTCAAAGCAGTGGCTTTCTTATTTGTGGACTTGTCTCACTCACAAATGCATAGTGATGCATTTACCACTGGGTCAGCTACATATACCTGTAACCACTTCTCACAACACAGCATAGCCATAGCTACCTCCCAGTCTCTTTAGAAAATCTAGGACAAAATGAACCTTTTTTTTTTTTCTTTCTTTCTTTCTTTCTTTCTTTTTTTTTTTTTTTTTCCTAGAGGTCACCACTGTGTCTTGAAGGTTTTAAGAAGATTGTTCATTTTTAGCTTGTTCCCTTCAAGGAAAGAATTCAGAACTATTAAACTGAGAAACATTTTCTGCTGTGCTGTGACTATCTATTTTCCAATAGATATTTGTGCAAAATCAAGAAGCCTGAGCAGGAGTAAAAAAAGCTCACCACAATGTGTGGCCCCTGGGCTAATAGGAGTTGAGAACAACTTTAGATACTTAGACCCTATAAAACCTATTGGAACCATTTTCTTTGGCAGTAGATATCCCAGCTGCCCAGCAAAATCAGACCCAAGCACAACACCTTTCTAAATGAGTAACATCTTCAGAACTAGATTATGAGGAGGGAAAAAAAAAAAAAAAAAAACACAACAAGAAAACTATACTTTTGTGTTACATGTCTGTGGTTCTTACCTTCTACGTAGATCTTCAGCCACTGCTGCTCTGCAGCTGAACAAATAGGCTCGCAGAGATTTTAACTGCTGTCTCAGGCGGACAACAGTTGCCAGAGATTCAACGTGCTTGTACAACATGGGATTTTCCTGCTGGATATCAATCAGTGGCTCCTCATACACATATTCCAGAAACTCTTTGGCTTGCTTTGATACCTGAAAAACATGCAACCAGTTTAGACAAGCATTCCTTGTAACTTCTTTTTAAGCAGATCTTCCCTTCTGTGTTTTGTCAGCCATTTTCTGCATCTGAAATATTATTGTTAGCAACTACAGATGAAAACAGAGCTCAGAGAGAGCCAACTGTCTCTGCTTATAGCCAATTCAAACTTCATCAAGCCCATCAAAGCTGAATGCCTGAGATAATTGCTTACTTATCCAAAGTACAGCAATATTTGCAGCCACACATTTTCATTGCAGGATAGCACAGCTCACTACAGGTACTTTTAGGCCTTAAAACTGTGATCATCAAGTTTCTTCCTTGTTAGTATTTTTATGCTTGCTTTCCTTTGGGAAGAAGCAAGTGAATGAGGTAAGTGCCAAATCACAACACCAGAAAAGGAAACACACACATTGCAAATCCAATCATACTGTGCTGTCCCAGGATACAGAACTCCAGAAAAAGTTCTACTGCCTTTGCTACATGCTCAGCCAGTGCAGCTAAAATAATGTAGAAAAAAAAACAAAAAACAAAAAAACCCAACTCCAAAGCACAACTATAAAGTTTTTTAAATTATGGATAAATACATCTAAATGTTAGCGATATTACCCATTTGCAATGTTTCATTTGCAAGACATTTTTTAAATGTCAGTTTCTTGAGAGTACTTTGTTCTATCTCCACCTCTAAAGAGCTACTGTGATCCTGATAAATTAATGAGAGTTTTATTCCCACTAGAAAAGATATTCCTGTTTCTGAGGTGAGAGATGAAAAACACTCATGTCTCATTTTTGCATTTTATCACAGCTGGAAAAGAGAAGATGGGATATCTGAAATAAGCTGCAAATCACTTTAAACTGTGCTATAGAAATAGTGTGTTCCACAAATCAATTAGTCCTTGTGGATATTTAAATCAGTGCTTGCACTGTTGAATTGAGGGAGGGCTAACTATGCTATCTTCTGTGAAATTAATCAAAGGAGAAATGGCACACCGCTGCCTCTTGAGACATAGGACATCATTTCTCCACCAGTGTTGTAAGGCAGGCAGCTGGTAAAAGCAATATATGTAGGTCACTTCAAAAGTAGTGCCTCCTATTTATTTCCATGGAAACCACAATAGAAACAAAGGACCACAACAACACTACTTGACAGAGCAAATTCTCAGCTACAAAACACTATTTTTCATCACAACCATCACCATTTTTGATTCACAGCAATGAATAGGAGCCTATATGCTATCCTTGTAAATATCTGCACTAGCACAGGTGACCCACAACTTCACAGTTGCATAATGGCATCATTGCTACAAAAATGTTGCCTAGCAGTCCACTGTTCATCAAATGGAAGTCAGAAGGTAAAAACTCAAACTATATGTTGGTCAAGGCAGGACAGTCCAGCCAACACCAGCAATGTACTTCACCATCTCCGAAAAGATTTGGGGTCGGTGTTATCCTGAGAAAGGTTGTCTTCTCATCTACCCTGATTCTGGAAGTTCAAGATCAGCCTGGCCATTATTGTGATGTACCAGTCAGAGTGGATGGTTTGTCCAAGTTCCAGGAAACAAAGAAGAACTGCCCTTTTCCTATCCCGAAAGACCGCGTCCATCACTTTACACACTAAGAACTGTGTCTTGAACTTTTTCTTCGATATGGAATTCACATGCACCACTCTAGGGACTGCTGTTTTGACACTGGTTCACAGTGGTAACATCATGTCTTGTTATCAGCAATTACGTAATCTAGGAGACTGTCACTTTCAGACTCAGATTGGTTCAATAGGTCCTAAAAACTTGCATAAGGTCTTATTTCTGATCCTGTGTGTTTGTGGAACCTACTTGGTGCAAACTTTGCAATATTCAAATGTTCCCACCATCATTTCCAAAACACTGAAGCCAATACTCAGCTCAGTACACAGTTCCTTGGTTGTAATTTACTGATTTACAGGAATGACTTGATTGAGACGCTTCCTTTCATGGTGGGACAGATGTGCACGGCCATCTCTGCACAGTGTGGCTTGTCTTTCTGGTCCCTATCGCCACTGCTGAAATGCACTGTGTTCACATCCACTCGTTGGTCTCCATAAATGTTCAGCAAGCATTGATGAATGTCAGTGGGTACCATTTTTTCCACATGAAGGAATTCAGTGACACATCTTTGCTTCATACGCACTTCCATGTCAAACACCATTTTGTCAGACTGCCCCTATGCTGACAAATGTCACATAGTAACAATGCGTAATGAGATACTGGTGGGAAGGTTCAGTCTCTACAGCCATACCACCATCTGTCTCTGACACTGTAGGCCAACATAATAAAATAGGAGGCATTACTTTCAGTGCAGCCCTATCCTAATAAAAGGCATCACTCTAAGGAGAACTAGTTTTAAATATAACCTTTTCACAATGCACAATAAAGTATAATAATGATGTCAAGGACAACATTACCACCAATAACTACATAGATAATAAGGTAATTTGAAATATGGTAGATTATAACCTCTCAGATTTCCCAGGTCCTGAAGCTATATCGAACAGTTGACTTGCTATTTCTATTAAGCACTCATTTATTTTTCATTTTTTTTCCAAAACAATGCATATACAAGGAATTGTGCCATCTGAATGGAAGCACAAGAAACATGCTGTGTACAGACAACTTGGATTTTACAAATCAAGACTCTATAATTGTGTCAAATTTTCAAACATTAGCATCGTTAATGTTTTTTAGATGCACTAACTGTGGTGTACAAAAGAGACCAAAGTTAAACAACTACTTTCTGCTTTTATAATCATTAAACAATTTGGCCGCAATACCTCAATTATCTCCTGACAACCACAGTACCTAGCGTAAATATTATTCCGCATCCACCAATGGGAAAATTAAGCTACGTATTCAGTGATACACTAGGAGGCACATGAATGCTTGGTAGAGCAAGTAGCACCCCCCAAGCAAAGGGTGAGGGATTCAACTCAGTACTGTCTCTCTAGTCTTTGAGATTTCCTCATCCACTGGTCTTCCTGACTTAGGAACCAGGGAGAGATGACTGTCCCAGTGCTACACCCACGTCTGTGAGCAGCTTCACCCTGAACAGGGGAGCTTTCCTGAGGCTGCAACTTTAAGAAAACAGAAACAAAAGCAGCACCAGATCCACAATCACCTGTGTGACTGCAATACATATGGACTACAACACAAAATTTAAAATTACCTATTTTTCCCCTCCTCATAGAAGCTCTACTTCATATTAGTACAGAGCTGAACAAAAAGCAGCTCCTCTCCATCGCTCAACACGTAGCCCTATGCCCTTTTTATTGTACAAACCACAATCCCAGAGGACCAAATATTACTACTGTTCAGCTCTAGTGCTGCACAGCCTGAGCACAGCCTTTGAGGGGAGAAAAGCAAACCTTTCTCCTTGCTGACACAATGTACCTGCAGAGCACTGATTACAGAAAAAAAACAGCTTTGCCCAGCATCAACAGCTGACAGGGATGCATTGTTTTCTCTGTGCATGCCTGACACAGGCACGTCTGTAAAACATTACTGAGTATAGCAAAGTTGCAGGACACTAAAATGCAACCTTATAATGAGAATGGTCAGGCAGTCATAGTAATTCACATTGTTATTGGCCAATATACTTGTATGCATATTACCATGCTCACATTACCTCAGTTATACTGGACAGAATACACATTGACAAGCCAGTATGAATGATACAGGGCAAATAGAACAATTTTAATTTCAAGAATCACAGAAGGGTGGATATTAACATTTCCAGACTTTTCTACAGACTGCAAATTTACTGTTCAGAACTCCATTTATCAGAAGCCAGCCTTCCTTGAGACCTTCTGGCACAGACAGTTCACTTATATGATTCTTCCTGCTATGCTTGCCTGTTTGCACAGGCTGGAACCTACCTGAAACCAAACTGCAGAACTTACTAGCATCTAAGCAGGGAAAACAGTTGGCATAAATAAAAGGAAGGCATTTTCACCAGATTACCTCTTTTCCCTTCACAAAAGCACGAAAAACACAAAAAGGGAAAACTGCAGGGAGATAAGAAGAAAAAAAGCGTACCTGAGGACTGAATTGCTGCTTGCTTATGACAAGAGACACATGCCTAATCACCAAGTCCTTTGAAAGCTTTTACTGCATCCAAGGGGATTTTTCTTATCCACGTGCTTTCAGGTATTAAGTGCATTGGTATTTTTCAATGTGGTAAGAGAAGACAACTTAATAGATTTCTATTGCTTCTGCTTTTTTCATGTCCTGTCTTGCCAAAAGCGAGACAAGAACCATTTACAAAACTTACTTAACTGATGCAAAATAGTACTCAGCTGAGCGGGACTTCATGAAACACAGAAGAGAAACATGTCCAATTACATTATATCACCATAAAAGTCTACGTGCTAAAGTATGTGCTGCTGGTTGTTTTCCTTCGACAGGTATGACAGATACCAGAAACCTCTTTGAGAGGGGAAAAAAAGGAAAAAAAGGCACCAGGAAGGCATGGGAAAGAATGCAGTTTTTCAAATTCTTCATTCAGTTTCCTTCCATTTAGTAAAATGCTAGGCACATTTTTGTCCGCGTGCAATACGAAGTCTTTGAAGACTAAAGCCGTGTTTCAGCTCTAACCATCAAATGTGGTGCATGCTTAATCCACTCACCTCCTCTGTGGGATGTGTTATTTAAGCTATTTATGTGCTATGTCCATCGGGGAACAAGGCACCCACTGCAGCAGCTCTACTTTCAGACATCGCTGCACTACCTGCGAGGGCCATGGCTCTGGCTTTAGGAGATCTGTTGCTAAGATTCACTTTGGAATGTTGCCACATGGCTGTATATGGGTACAATGGCCAATTATCAGAAGTGAAATGCTGACTAATTAAGTGTTCTCATTTAAAATTGACCCCATAGGAAATTATTACTACCAAGATCACCTCAAGGAAGTGGGACAACATCTCTGCCTTTGCCAAATCAGCACATTTAATCAATACACTGCTAAGGAATCATACCGTTTCATTACCAATATTAAGCACCTTTCAGACCATACAGAAGAAAGGAACTTTGAACCTTGCTCCTGAATGGCAGAAGGAGATGTGGAGGCGAAAGTGCAGGCAATATGCGGCCCACCTCCGAAAAGCACTGTTTAGTCAACATGGGCATAGAGCAAGGACGTGCTTGTAAAAGCATGTTTATGTGGAATTGAACAGAACAGGAAAAAAATCCAAGAGATTTCCCAAAAGTAACAACAGCAATGTGTTAACTTAATCCCATACATGGACAAAGTGGAGCTGAAGAGATCCAGCTGGTGATCTCAGCTCAGTTTTGACACTGCTACTGTGGCACATAATGACCCCTTGACCTTCTCTCCGTTTCACTTCCCCCTAATAGTTGGAGATGCTGTCATGTTTTCCAAACTAAGGAATGGTTTTCCTTTCTTAAATTCATCTCTGAGTGTTTTGGCACAGAAACTGACAAAGTACAGACTGGCATAGAATTTGGTTGTGATCCCAAGCCACCTTACACATGTTTAGACAAAATGCAAAACAATTTCTCACTGTAAGAGTTGCAGTATGTTAGATTTTCAAAGAAAACTTAAGCTTCCAGTCCTATTTTATTTCTCTCCTCAGCTGCTCACACTTAAACCATAGGAAACAGAGCACAGAGCATAATTTTCACCCCTCAAGCTTAGAAACCTAACCAGTTTATTTTCTTGGCAGTATCACCGACACATTGATATAAGTTCTCCTTACCTTACCATCTACCTGTTCCATATGAAGGCTCCTTATAATGCCCTAAGCCTAGCAAGTTTAGTCTTTGGCAAAGGCATAAAAAAATATTCTTAAATATTTATTCCTGGCTTCCAGGAAAGGGAGGGTTTGGGTTTTCTTGTTTCCACATATCAGAGCTTTGTAGCTCTGAGAAATCTTGCAATTTGTGGTTCAAGACTATCATTTTCCTGATGGCAGGCTCTGGCTACCTTTTAATAATCTTCACTTCTGTCAAATTTTCCTCCTCAAGAGAGCTGCTTTTCCTCTAATAGGGCATTTACCGGTTATTTTTTTCCTTTTCAAATAGCCCATAATAATAATATTCGCAGACACAAAACATCAAACAGCCTCTCCTAACAGTGGCTGCTAGGTTTGAAGTTCTAGTATAATCTGGTTTCCTTATGAGTTCATTGTTGTTTCAGCACATGCCCTCTGTTACTGCAAAACAACACAGCTAATATGTTTGGCATAATACTTGGAGGCATGTAATCAGTTCTGACTATACAGTAACCAACCACTAAGGCAGCAGCAACAGCAGATCACTAAAGTTTTAGAAAAGCAGATTGTGTGGCAAGTAAACAACAGTAGAATTTTCTCTTCATGTTATTTTCAAATGCCCAGCCCAAAAAAGTGCTACAGCAATGTCCTGGCATTCTGGAAATGTTTGTGCCATGAGATGAGACATACTGGGCTTCTACAGGTATCATCTTCAGGTTAAGCCTGTTTCCAGCAAGATTTTGACAGTTTTAGTACCCATCACTAAGCATTACCTCAATCAGTCATTCTGACTCTCCTTGTCTCTTGAACAACTAGATGAGCAATGATGGAAAAGACACTATTAAGAAGAGGAGAACAGCTGCTCCTCTGGAGAAGTCGCATAGGTCTGGCTAAGGAAACTGCGATGAACATATCTGTCGTCTTGAGAGTACATGGACTTGTCAGGCTAGGGTCTTCTGGCAAGTGAGTCAAAGCAGATATTATCAGCAGATAATGCCTTTAACCCTCAACATGTAGTAAAATGTCTGTGTTCAGATAGAAACAGCAATTCAGTTCACTCACTAGTAAATCAACTTACAGGGAGATTACCTTGTACTTGGAAGTATCCCAGTTATGAACCAGCCTTGCAGGAATGAGGAAGCTGTCATCCACATGGCAGGTACAGCAGTAATACCAGCCACTGTAACTACACACCTTGGCTTTGCCATTGGACAAGCCTATGGAGCGCTGACAGCCTGGAGGAGAGAGGAAAAGACTGGGTTTGTACAGTATGCCAGAGGTGCAGATTCAGGACACAGTAAGGAAAGTAATTATTCCTTCTTCTGAGGTCATTTAAACAAAAAATACACAAAACCAACCAACCTCCACATAACAGCAAACAAACAAGAACTCCACAATCACCATATTTTTCCTTAGAAACAGTGAAATAACTATATCCTTTGTCGAGTGCTGAAAAAAACTTTCACTAACTTGAGTGTGTAGAACATAGTTCAGAGAGCAAAGAGTACTTACCTTCTCAAGAAACAAAGGCAGAAGAGCAACTTTGAGATAGTAGGCATTTAAAAGACAGTGTCATAAACAACAAAGAATCACAGCCCAATAAATCATATTTCTCAGTGTCATATCTCCACAGTTCTTGAACACCTCCAGAGACAGTGTCTCCACCACCTCTTCAGTCCAATAACTCACCACTCTGAGAAGTTTTTCTTAATACCCAACCTGAACCTCCCATAGTGCAACTTAAAGCCACTACCTCTCATTCTATCACTGTTGAGAGAAGAGCCCAACCCCCTCCTCTGTAAAAGAAAAAATACTACCCATCTTCTGCTCAGGAGCAAGATGAAGAACTATACAAAAGATAGCATTTCTTCCTCCTTCCAAAGCTAAATAGATGCAAGTCCTCAGTGCGTACATTTGTGTCAGCAGTATCTCAGTAGAGTATCTCAAGTGCCAGCATGGTAAAAAGAAGTGGTGAAAGGTCTAAATCTTTCTCCTTGTAAGTTGCCTCTAGATACTTCTTTTATCATGAAAAAGCACAGAAGCATGAATCTTGATACCCCAATGGACTCCAGCAGTAGCATTCATTACAGACAGCACTCCCCTCACATTGGGTGAAACAAGCCACTAACTAACATATAGGTTTTTTATAGCTCAATTTGTTTGGACCGGGTGATGCAGTCCAAGCAGTACAACTACAACTGAACGAGACTGATGTCTCCCAGCTAAATACCATAAAAACTTCTATAAATGTTCCCCATTAGCCAACATTTACTTTCTAGGGAATGAGGATGGGATAGTACACACTAATTTCATTCCCTGCCGCTCCACAAGCTGCTGGTTTGTCTTAGCAATCTAGCTCCCATTAGTTAGGCTGAAGGCAACTATATGCTAAACTCTAATTTCTTAGATTTGAATTGTCACCATCTGAAGCTAAAATATCCACAGATGAGAAGGCACTATTTAGACATTCTTTCCTGCCATCTCCTGGAGCCAGAAACTTATTCCAGTCTATGAACACCTTCCTGGGGAGATGAATGACAAAGCATAGAAGTACATTCTCCCCCTGCTCTCAGAGGATGACATCCAGCCCAGAACTGAAGGGCTCTGCAGTAAAAAGGGTCTTGGTAAACAAACTCTGAAACTTCAGAGTTTGCTTCCTTCAGGAAGGGTGGCTTTATAAAAAGAAGTTTCTATCCATGCAGCCAATTCTCCTTTTTTCCAGTACTTCTCTGCACCCGTGCTTGTTTCCTTGTTTCTCAGAAACAAATTTTTACAAGGAGTATTTCCCTATCTTCCTCATACCCTCAAGTCAACCATATTCTGCAAAGCTACACAACAATTGTACTTGGATTTTTTTTTTTTTAAATGAGAATGCAGCACTGACACCCACCTCACATTTTCCCTGAGCTTACAATCTTTGCTGCTGGAAAATCACCATCCTTACCATTCTTATCTGTTGTGATTCATAATGATAGCTATTTCTACAATCCTTTCAAATCAAGTTATCAAAGCACTGATTTTCTTTGATGTTATGCAGTTCAAAGCGATGTAGAGTGTGTGACAAACATATTTCTATAGCATAGACCATTTATGCTACTTTGTTTTTTTAAGATGGGGAAAAAAAACAGCAAGAGGAAGAGGAAAAAAAAAAAAAAAAGGAGGAGAAAAGAACAGCAGAGGGCTTAATGCTTTTGGAAATTCTGCACCTAGCCATGCAGGTACATAAATTTGTCATCACGTTTACCAAAAGCAAAGCTAGTACAGATTCCTGGGCTTAAACTCGTCAGTATCTCTCTCCACAAGATAGTAGGATGTAGCCAACCATCCCACAGATTGGAAACACAACTCAGCAAACAGGTTTACCTGAAGAGAAGGAACCTTTTACATTTGCAGAAAAAAAAAAATACTTGCCTACAAAAAGAGAAAACAGCTTCCCCACATTGGGGGTAAAAGCAGCACTATTTTCACCAATTCCCTTTCAACTATTCCTAGCGCCCATACAGAATAGCATCCATGAAACTTCTGTACAAAGGTCTTGCAAATCCTGAGAATAAGAATACTCCAACTTTTATTATTATCCCCAAAATCATTCCTACCTAAAGGATGTTACAGAGCCAGCTACAAATGGGAGAAGCGTGGCTTCATACGCTGTCAGCAAAGTGAGGTAAGGAATGATCCTGAACCTTTCACCACCGAAAATATGACAAAGCTACACTAGAATCAAGCAGAGAAAAGAGGGGTTCAAAAACATAGCAGCAAGGAAGTGCTGCTGGGCACAGATGAATCTCTCTTAATAATACCTCTGTGAGCAGAGTCGAAGCATCAACACGAAGAAGCTCATCTCCAAATGCTAAGACTTCAGGAGGAAAGAATTACAAGGAGAAAAGGTAAAAGAAAACAGTTATCACAAATCTCTGTTCTCGACATAAGGCGGTGGTGAGTGGTACAGCACAAAGGACAAATTCAAGACACTACAGTATACCTCCCATTCTGCAAAGTGTAGAAAACACTTCTGCCACGCTTAGGGTGTCATAAAGCTCTAACAGTCATGGCAGATACAGCTATTCTTCATCCTTTATTCCTGTTCTTCAACCATTTAGCAAGAAATGCTGGAGCAAGCAACAGTGGGAAACAAGGAAAGAGGAAGACCAAACTCGAAATAAGCACATAACAGTTTTCTTTATTCAATAAAGTTATTTACTCAGTACAGGAAAAAGCAACTCCCTCGTGATTGTGTACCATAATTAAATCTGTGACAGATTAGCTTAGAAGCTAATTTATTTAGAAACAACATACAATATGAAGAAGAAAAATGACCCACAAACTTCAAAAGGCTTTTAGCTTGATAAAGCCATAAAACAGACTAAGCAGAAGGTGCACAGCAACAAATTTTCAGTGTTAGATCAGACATAAAACACTGTTCTATCTTCTCAGCAAAAACAGGGAAAGTGAGAATTACACTTTAGTTGCTGACCTTATGTTTCTGTGCTCTCTACAGTAGAAAAACTCAAACTCACGAGGAAGACAGACTAACAACCCAGCTCTACATTCTTGAGTGTAATCTACATCAGTTGCTCAAGAAATTAGGAAGGGTTTGTTAGTCCCCAGTTCCCAACTTAGTTGTTTGGTTTTTAACAGACTCCAAAGGATGGACCAACCCTCTTGAATCTATGGAAACCCAAACTACTGACTGAAGCCTTAAACTAAGCCCTAAATTAACAGCTTTCCCATCCTGACTAGTGCCAATAAAAATGAAACACACAGCCCAAGATAACTTGGCCACCCACCCTAGGTAGGCTTGCTGGTTGCAGGCCCCAGGCTAGGCTGGGCAGATGGGTCAGGAAGCACCCATCCCTTCCTGCTGCCAACAGCTCATGTGCGCACAGCACAGATGAGTCATCCTCTAAGCACCCAGGCTTTCTTCCAGTCAGCAAAGCTTAGTTTAATGTAGTCATCCAATATTTAGACTGTCAGGGCTAGATGTAGTAAACAACATCCTTTATGTCAGTCATACTGAACACACAGATCTATCACCCTCTCTGAGAAGATCAACAATGAAAAAATAACCACGAGTGAAAAAAAGCCATGTGACAGCACATACAGACTTCATCAATAAATTAGGAGCAAAAAAACCTCCAAAAACCTAGCTGTGCATCAAACGGCTGCAATAAAACGTTACTTTTGGAAACTGGCTTTTTATTTGGATTTCTCCACTTCAATTTTACCAGAATATAGGTTCTTTTACCCTTACTGTCAGATGCTGAGAAGGACCAAGATGCCATAATTTCCCAAAGAACTTGCTTCAAGGGAATTAAAAACAGCAGTGAAGACATGCTTCACGTGCAGCTATGGGTTGTGAATCCTTTAACAGATGGCCAGTCTGCATTCTCCCCGGTATCTTTAAAAATTCCTTTCTTCTCATTTGCAGGACCACAGCACTGATGAAGAATAGGACACACCTCAACTAATTTGCTATTCTTTCCCCATGCCCTTACAGGGTTGTTCTCAGCAACACATGGTGCTTTGCTGAGATTCTGAAGCACTCCCAGACAGAGGTGGATAGGACTTTCCAGGGAATGACATAGTAGCAGACACTGGTAGTTCACCAACTCTTTAGACAGGGGTGGGGAATGAATGCACTCTCTGGGCCAGCCCTTGGAATTCACCAGTCACCAGTAAACTGAGGATTGAATGTAATCAGCAATTAATAGTATTCCTAATCCTACAGATGATGACACTAATAGTAGGTGAGTTTACACAGTGCATAGTTTATGCACTGGGAAAGCAGATGAGAACACAGCCAAGAGCAGGTGAGCTGTTTGTAAGATAAGAGTGGTTGCTGGTGCCAACATCCACATCTGTGGCCAGGTCACTTCACACACAGAGCCTCTAGTTAATTCAGTTTTCATTCTTGCTCTACAATTAGTTTGAACACCTCATAATTCTGCACTATTCACTCATTTACTTACACTGAAGGCCCCTCCAGTTTGCTGAGTTCCATTCACTTAATAAAGTGGCTAATAACATACATTGAAACAATCAGCCCTGTTTCCATTCAGATACACAGCTGGATTTGTATCTCCTTCTAACATGAAGAGCAACTGAGAATCAAGTGTGGCTAAACATTTTTCACCAATGTTAGCTGAATTTCTTCTTGGTTGCACATCACTAGCACAGTGCTACCTTGGGCATATTGCTCAGATTTACACAGCTTAGGTGTGTATAAGCCCATTAG